ACATTTTGCTGGTACCACAACAGCTCCAAAGTGTGTGCGCAAGGGAGGGAGACATCACTTCCATGCCAGAAAAGCCTCTTGCTGGGGGGCCAATCCTGGGGGGTGGGTGTCCCTCCGCATCTGTCTTGGGCCTGGAACAGGACTTGAAGCAGAGTGGCTCCCCTGGCAAGAAGGCGAACACGGGGAAAGCCCTGCCCGTTTCTGAGGGAGCTGAGGTGAGACTGAAGGAGCTGGGTCTCTTCAGCCTGGAGGAGACTCAGAGGGGACCTGTTGGCGACACACAGGTATGCGAGGGGTGTCACACAGAGGTGGGTAGAGACCTGTTCCCCCCTGCAGAGAAAGGCAGGACGCGCTCCAACGGAGCAAAGCTCAGGGAACCCCGGTTCCATTTGGATGCCAGGAAGCACTTCCTGACAGTCAGGACCCCGAGGGTGTGGAAGGGGCTTCCACGGGAGGTGCCTGAGGCCCCATTGGTGCAAGTGTTCAAGGATAGGCTGGACGTGCACATGGTGGGCATGTCGTGAGCGGAGCCGGCTGGTGCCAGAGGCCAGACTAGATGGCCTGGGAGGCCCCTTGTCTGACTCACTCTATTTCTGTGATCAGCAACCAGTCCAGAGGTTCCCATCAACAACAGCATAATGGGTGTTCTGATATAGTATAAGAAGCAGCAGGCTGGGGCCAACATGCCCTTCTCACGCGGCTCTTCCATGAGTTGCGCCTCGGTCGTCCTCTGCCTTCTTCCCCCCAGAAGGCCTGCTCTTGCCCCTTCTTCTAAAAGCTTCTGCTTCCCTCTCTGCCTTCCTTCCTACCCCATTCCATTCCCTCTCTTCCCACATGCCAAGCCCTTCCCACTTCGGCAGTGGAAGCCTGCCTTGGAATATGCTTGGACAGGAAATGGGGGCACCTCCCAGCATCCCCCAGTGGCCAGGAAATGGCAGTGTTTCGTTATTTAGAATTCTGGCAAAGAGCAGGCCCATGGCAAGAAGGGACAGTGGTGGAAGGCAGCGGGAAAGTAGTGGAGACGGCAATTAGGGAGGGAGAAAAAGGGAAACGGCAAAACAAGAGGAAGAGGTTCTTTTCCTGAAAAGAGAGTTCAACTAGAGTTGTGGTCATTACAGTGGACTAGAAACTTGCCTTATCATCAGGGGACAGAAAAGTTAGAAGAGGCAGGCAGGAGCAGGGGGCTTCCTACATGATCTTCCCGGAAAAGCACATGCTGTGGGATTGCTTAATTCTGCGCGGGTGAAGAAGGCCCTCGATCTGCCCTGCATTGCCCACCCACTGGCCTCGGGGAATAACGCCGCCCGGTTCTAGCACAGCCACTGCTGAGCTGCCAAACAAAAGAGGGAGAAACGTGTTTGCACGTTCTGAAATGCTGTGATTTAAATAGAAATGCAGCGCATCTCTCCATGCTGTTAAGGACGGATCAGATCACTGATGCCGGTATGTTCAGGGTGCTGTCCAAGCATCCCTCTGTTTGCACAATTCATCAGCAGCCCCCATATGCTGGAATCTGGTGTTGGGGACTCATGCCAGGCCTCTATGCTGCAAAATCCCCCCAAAATTCCATCCTGTGTGTCTCCCTTCGCGCCACAATTTGATCTGGTCACCCCTGCCCACAGTACGGGGGTCCGACAGACCACACGGTCAGGGTCTGCCGAGGAAGACCACTCGGGAACCAGGGACCACTCCAACTGGTGTCGGCCGAGGTGTCCCAAGGGTGTGAAAAGCTTTACTAGCTCCTGCTCTGTATCACACACGGTTCGAGGCGCGGTGCTCTCACCCCCCGTGTGGCTCGGCCCCCCAAATCTGAAGGACAGCTTTTGCTCACAGGAACCTGTGATTTTATGAACCACAAAGACACGCTACGCGTGCACATGGCGGGCATGTCGTGAGTGGAGCCGGCTGGAGCCCGGGGGTCAGACTAGATGGCCCGGGAGACCCCTTCTGACTCGCTCTGTCTCTATGTTTCTATGAAGCGACGGCCTGTCATTCTGGGAGGCTCTTCTCCAGGCGCTCCCGCCTTCTGTGATGAAGCAAGCAATGAGCTCAGAAGGGGCCTTTTCGGTGGCAGCCCCATCTCTGGAACGCTCTTCCCAGAGAGGCCAACCCAGCACTTGGCCGTCTGTCCTTTCGGGCCTGTTCTGTCAGCCCAGGCTTTAAAAAAGTAACCCGACCAGTCTGGCTATTATTTATCGATTTAGGATATTTGTGCATTATCTCAGTGAGCAATTGAGGTGATATAAATAAAAATGCAAAGAATAAAATAAATGAAAAATACAAGGACCCGAAACACATTTTGAAACTGAGAATATAAGGACATAGAACATAATTACTCTTAAAAGAGATTTTGACACTGCTTTGTTTTTATTCTTTCTTTCCCTTTGCTTTCTATTTAACAGTAGTATTTTTAAAGCTTGCTTCTTTTAAAGTTGTTTTTATTATTTTTTAATTTTAATCTATTCTGGGAGTAGGAATCCCACAGGGTGGCATATAAACATCTTCAATAAATAGACTATAACTTTCAGAAGGGAAAAGTGTGAGGCCACAGCGTTAAACCGGAGTGTTCATGAGAGAAAGGGTTTTATTTTTGTTTTTTCAGAAGATGTGTTCAGTAAATGTGCAAAGGGGGAACGGGACCGGAAGGCCATGATCCCCCACACCCACGCATGAAAAGGCCTGCTGTGTCACCACCAGCGTACTGACAATCTGGTGCAGAAGTGCCTCGGCGGACCTGTTTTGGCAAGGATTCCTCCCTCCTCCTGGGGACCCAGACAGAGCCTGGATGGTGACAAGATCACTCCTAGCCTGGCAGAACCAACTGCCGGAGCAAATGAGATGAGAACTTGCAAGCCGCAAAGACCTGGAATCATAAGCAGCATTTACTGCATCCTTTCCTCACATCCGGGGCTACCTAGAACACTTAGCACAATGCACAGGATTTGGCTAAGTAAATAAACATAGAAATATAGAAAACACAGAAACAGAGCGACTCAGAAGTGGCCTCCCAGGCCATCTAGTCTGACCCCCGGCTCCAGCCGGCTCCACTCACGACATGCCCACCATGTGCATGTCCAGCCCATCCTTGGACACCCTCCCCAATGGGGCCTCAACCTCCTCCCATGGAAGCCCCTTCCACGCCCTCGGGGTCCTAACTGTCAGGAAGTGCTTCCTGGCATCCAAATGGAACCTTGGCTCCCTGAGCTTTGCTCCATTGGAGCGCGTCCTGCCTTCCTCCACAGGGGAGAACAGGTGTCTCCCCACCTCCGTGTGACACCCCCTCACATGACTGAATGTCGCCAACAGATCTCCTCTGAGTCTCCTCCAGGCTGAAGAGACCCAGTTCCCTCAGTCTTGCCTCATACGGCATCCCCTGCAAACCGCCACCAACCTTGTGGCCCTACGCTGCACTGACTCCAACCTGGCTATATCCTTCCTGTAAATAAAGAAATAAATAAAATTTCCAAGGAAAAAGTTTATTTTTTAATCAATGGGTTAATTGGCTGATAGTAGCACAACAGCTTCCCTGAATCAAATGCAACCCCCCTTAATTCCAGCAGAAGCTGTAACTCCTGAATAACAAACCACAGGACCATTCCCACAACAGGGCCCATATTACACAAGCAATCCCCACTTGGGGGTTTTCATGTCAGGTGATTCCAGCAAGTGTGGTCTGTTTCAGGGTTGTGTGAGGGTTACCCTCACATAACCTACATTTCCCAGGTTCACATGACACAATGATGCGGAGTAGGACTTGCATAATTGGAACGGCAGCTGTGGGCACTGGGTCTGACTGTTGGTTAAATAGTCCAGGATGAGCTGCTCAGCAAAGCTTTTGGCAAAGGGCCCCACAATATCCGGATTAGCAAACCAGCTAAAAGAGGGTGAGATGGACCAACAATCAGGTGGCTCCACAGTTGGCTGCAGAATCGGGCTCAAAGAGAGCTCATCAAGGGCACCTTCTCAATGTGGGCAGAGGCTAACGAGCGCGGAACCGCACGGCTCAGAGCCCTGGGCCCAGTGCCCTGCCAAACGTTTACTGGAGATCTGGAAGAAGTGCAAGGAACGATCCTCAGATCTGCAGAAGGCACCAAACGGGGCGGCGGGGGGTGCCGCAAAGGGCAGCAGCCGGAGCCAGGGCGGTCGCAGCGGCTGGAGCGCTGGGCTGCAGCCGGCGCAGTGCAATCCAGCGGGGACAGAGGCAAGCCCGGCACCCTGCGGCATGCCGGGACTTGTAGGCCATCGCTGCCGCCGCTCGCCCAGAGCGCGCCCGAGGCGCCCACATCTGGCCTCGCCCGCCGGCCGCCTCGCGTTTGCTGCAGGCGCCCGCCCGCCCGGCCGCCCGCCCGCCTCCACATCTGGCCACACCTGGCGGCCACCTCGCCGCCGCCGCGCCTCCCGTGCCATGCCCCCGTCCTGCCGCTGGAGGTCGCCGCCCGCCGCCTTCCAGCCCCACGCCAATACTCGCCCGCCGCCGCCGCCTCCTCCAGGATCCCGGCGCCCCCCCCCCCCCGCGCACGCTCCCCTCCCGTCCCTCCCTCCCTTCCCTAAATTCCTTTCTGATCTCTTTCCGGCCATGTGTGATTGCCGTTTCCTCTGGGCGTCCATTTCAGCAGCCTGGCACTGAGCAGCGGAGCACACCGCGAGGAAGAGGCGGAGGAGGAAGAGCGGGACGCAGCGGGCGCCGGGGTCGCGCGCGCCCGGACCGCCCCGCCCCGCAGGACCCCCGCCGGGCAGCGCTCGCCCCGCCGGGCAGGGCACGGCAGGGCAGGGCCGC